AAGTTGTAAAACTAAATAAAATGAGTAATAATAACGACGGGAATATCAAAGAATTTGACACAAACTCAAGAATAAAAAGTACTTCACATAAAGATATGTCTCCTTCAAATATTTCAACTTACATTGATGTAAGAAAATCAATTGAAAGAAGCAAAAAAGAACCATATTAGAAAACTTAAAATATAGGAGGAGTCAATCCTAAGGCATTGCAGTAATCTAACTTCAACTTTTCGTTTTCTTGCTTTGTTGTAAAAAGGAATCTGTAGGGCTATTTGAATTGACAATAAATTGAGCAATGAACACTTACGCAACCAAAAGATAACTTATAAAAGTTCTGACATAAGAAAAAGAACTATCAAGAATATCATAAAAAAATCAACCTATAATATATTGTTTTAACACATATAAAGCAAGTAAATCAAAAAAAGCCCAAAAGATATTTATATTATACATAACTAATCTCATAAAGCAAAACGATTACTTAGTGGAGAGAGAAGCGTAAACGTCTTGTATGTCAAAAATTATGAACATCGGCGGTTGGAATCATGTTGCACCTTAAGAAATTAGTGAATACCTTTAAAATTCTTCAATTAATTTCATCATATAATTGCATTATTAAAAATAAATCATATATGATTCATATAACAAATCATACATGATCCAGACGACTTTACCCTGCGACTTAAGTGGCCTCAAAAGTCGCAAGCTTCCATTTAATGTAAAATCACATGTGAGTTTGTACATTAACGACATTTTTTTTAAATAGTAGCGTTCTCGTTCGAACTTTCCTCTATGTATGTATGTATTATTATTATATATATATAGGGGTGAGTTCAAATAAAAATCATTCAATTTATAAAAATCGTGAAAACCTCATTCAACCAATCATTATTTTTCATTTTGTTCATTTTTTTGTAATTATGAGAGATTGATTAACCATTTTTATTGTGGAGGGTGTTAATCATGGATATTATCATCTTCATAATTTTAACTTTAGAGAAATAAATGAAACAGTTTCATTAAAATTTCATTAAGTAGTATATGAAACAATTTCATAACCACATATGAAACAACTTCATCAAAAAAAGTATTATATGAAACAATTTCACAAGATCAACAATTTCATGAAAAAATTTCATAAAATTAACGACGGATGATAGTAGTTTTTACGGTTTTTACAAATTGAAGTGGTTTTCATTTAATCGCTCTTCTATATATATATATATATATATGTGTGTGTGTGTGTGTGTGTGTGTGTATTTTATATATTTGTGGATTCTAATTTCATTAAAAAAATAGATGATTGAAATATTTTTATTGAACTATCTCTTGGTCTTATCTTAATATATTTTAAATATATATTGATATATTGAGAAATTTTGATATATATATTGATTGATTTTTGATGATTTATTTTTTTAATTGTCATGTATATAGAAATTTATATACATTGATGTAAATAAAAATAAATGTATGTACATTTTAGTTTTATTTATAAAGAAAAAAAATAAATACGATTGAAACTTCTCATTGAACTACCTCTTGGTTTTTAATTTCATATATTTTTAATTATATATTGATATATTGATTGATTGAGAAATTTTAATGTATTTTGATATATGTTGATTGATTTTTATTTTTTCAATTGTGATGTAATTAAAAATATACATTTATTGATATAAAATAAAATATATGTAGTTTTATGTATTTGTGGATTCAAATTCATTTATAAATAAATAAATAAAATTAAGTTAAAAAAATAGGAAAATGAAAGGTTTAGCAATTAATATGTTGATTGTATATTATAAATAAATAAATAAATAATAATAAAGATAAATATGATAGAAAACTTTTCATTAAACAGCCATTTAGTTCTTACTTCACACACCGCGTGTTGCATAGTGATGAAACTTGTTTTGTTAGAAAATACATAATCAAATTAAAGTGAAACGTAATTTCATAATCAATTGTAATATAAGACGGTGATTACATTGGAGTGTTTTTTATGCAAATTTTTTTCATTGATATTGTTTCTTATAACTAAAGAAATTCATACATTTTATATTTTTCGGTTGCAGAACAATAATTTTATTGAAGTTCAATTTGTATAAAAATTGTTAGCCGCAACCCGCAAGTATTGTATGATTAATATTGAGCACTATCATAGGTGTATGCAAAAGTAATCTTTTCAATTTAGCTTGTAACACTTATTTTCCAGATTTTTTTTTAAATAAATTCATGTACATATAGTCATCCAAATAATTAGATGTGTAATCACAATATAAGAAATGATATAACTAAATTTATAATACAATTAAATAATGGGAAATAAAATAAGAGTATTTTTATTAATTGTTGAATGAAATATAATATCCTCTAATCTTGAGGAATCATACAATGCAAGGTATATAAGCAATAACATTCGTTATATTATAAGCTTACCGATTGTTGTAAACAATAGCTAATCATGGTTGRCHAAAAACCGAAGAACTGAAATTTAAATTGGATTCATTATAGACAGAGAAATTATTATTGTCTTAGTTTTGTGTAATGATGCTTATGATGTATAAGCACAAAAAAGGATGATGTACATGTACCATTTTTCATCCTCAACACACACCTTGACTTTAAAAACACAATAGTGAATGGACCAACCATACGATATGTAAAAAAATCACATACCAAACTTAAAGACTTCAAATATTTATAACCCAATAGATAAAATTATAATGCAATCAAAATCACAACACGAACATATATAAAATTATCACACGACTAAACTTACGATAAGAACATACTTAAAAATATAATCCAATCAAAATCATGATACAAACATACATAACATTCTAATACACTCTAAATTACAAAATAAACTTGCATAAAATCCTTACCTTAGATCATAATCATAAATTCCCACAACTCAAACTTGAAAACTTCAAATTTTCAAGACTTCATATATAAAAGTTAAAGAACTCGAAAACCTGCAAATCAAAAAAATTTCAACATAAGTAAAAATTACATAGTAAACTTAAGCATTTCAAATCTTCACCTAATACATAAGAGTTATAATACAAACAAAATCACGATACAAACATAAATAAAATTATAATGCAATCAAAGTCATGAAATAAATCAATATAAAATTATTACCTTGTATTGTAATCAAAAAATCAAATATTGAACTTGAAGATTTCTTCAAATCTTCATGACATAATGCATAAAAAACTATAATGCAATTTAAATAACGATACAAACATTCATAAAATTATAGGAGAAGAGAAAAAACAAAAAAACTATGAAGATTATCAATAGTAAAATAGAAGAAAAACCAAAGATGAATAAAATAAATTTAGAGATGTATAAGATAGAGATAGAATTTGAGAGGATGTGAGAGATGAAGATGAACAAAAAGTTGTTGTTTTTATATATATAAATAAATGATTGATTGGAAAAGATGAATGGTTTGGAGTTATGTAATTTGAATTAATATAGAAGGAGATAAATGGTTTGGAGTTATGGAATTTGAATTAATATAGAAGGAGATGAATGGTTTGGAGTTATGGAATTTGAATTAATATAAAAGGAGATGAATGGTTGGGAGTTGATGCAAACATTTAAGAAAAAAAACATAAATTGACAAAAACAATATATAGTAGTGAATATTAAAAGAATGAAGGAGAAAAAAGAGAAATAAGGTTCTAGGCTCTAGGAGAAGCCACCTCAACAACTCATGGTATCTTTTATTATATATATATATATATATATATATATATATATATAGATAGATTTATCATCATTATTTTACAGCAAAGTGCGACATTAAACCACCGGACCCCCTCATGTTACGCCTACAGTTTTGCAAATTTAACGTACAATATCTCATGCTACGATGACGGTTTGGAAAAATAAATGTCATAGTGAGTCCTTCAACGATGACAATTTTGAATAATAAATGTCACTATTTTTAATGATACAATGACATTTTTAATAGAAAATGTCACCGTATGTCATTTTATGGTTACAGTTTCAATGGCTCTACATCATCGTATGTCATGATACAGTGACAATTTTTAGAAAATTTACGTCATCGTTTGTTATATGTACTAGAGGTGGGTACAAATCGATTCAAAAAAGTCCGGTATGGTCAACGTCTGTCCAAGTCATATCATTTTGGATATTCGTTAGTAAAGAAACTAATCTTTCAACTTTTTGTATTCGGTGCTTAAAGTTCACAATATATTTCTAGTCAACAAAGAAAATTAAAAGATAAAAAATCTAACCTAATAAAAACCATTGAGAAGCGACGACGGATCGTGGAGGTATGATCGAGTTACTAAGGTTATTAGAGTTAAGGTGAATGAATTCAATCAAGTTCTATCCATCCATCCATATCATAATTTAGCAAAACTAAAAATAAGAACATTTAAAATGATCGTTGTATCATATACTAAACTTTAATTAATAAATAATTAAAAAAATAAGTCGGTGCGGCACGGTATTACCATGCTACACGATTTCCAATAGCACGTACCAACGAAGTTTAGATTGTTGTTACGGTACTGCCAACCAATTAGGTTGGTACCAACTGAATTGGTACGGTTGGTACAGAATTTGGTTGGTTTGTCATGGTACAAAATTGACACACCTACAACTAATAATATAAAATTAATACTCCCTCCGGTCCTAATGGACCATTTAAATAACGCTTATTGAGTAAGTGCACCTTATGGGGTAAAATTCTTGATTATCAAAATGAATTGTGGTAAGCGTCTTTTAACCGAAAGCGCTTATCGGATAAGAGTCTTTCCCCTCGCTTATTAGGTAAGATTTTTGGTCCTTACTATGCCTCTTACCGGGTAAGATTTTTTATCCTTGTCATGCTCATCGGTAAGATAAGCAACACCCAATAAACACTTGCCCAATAAAAGTTTGGTAAACAGCCCCTAAAATAAATGTTCACAGTAGAAAAGAAACAACACCAATCAAGACTGATTTCTTACAGTCATAATTATGCCAACTGAGTTTATCAAGACTGATTTCTTACAGTCATAATTTACCCGGATTAGTTCATGGATAGCATGTGACACTTTAAGAGAAACAAAATGGAGAAGTGAAGCCAACAAAATACAATTATCTTAGAAACAACACCAATCAAGCTTATGATGCAATAAGTTGGGATCATGTGAGAACAAATTGATCAATAGCGTTTGAGCACACATCTCATTCGAATGACGCACCATGTTTTGAGTAGCATTTTCCGTCTCCTCCAGCCATGAAAGTACTTCCCAATCACGTTCTTATAACTCGGTCTCTGCTGAACCAGTGTCCAATACTCGGCTAACTTCGGTCTGCCACTTATATACGTGTTCTCCAAACCCAAAACGGCTAACCGAGCCAATATCGGAACCAGCATAACATCAGCCAACGTGAACTCATCCCCAGCCAAGTACAAAGTTTCTTCAAGCTGTGTTTCCGCTTCATCAAGGAGCATCACCAGATGTTGTTCGCTCCTTTGTAGCACTTGTGGGTCCCGCAGTTTCTCTTCGGTTTCATAAGCTTCTTTTAGTTTGGTGTGGTAAGCGGTTGCTAGGTCCGGAGCCTCCGACATCCGGGCGATTATTACTCGTCTTAAGAACTTGGATACCGATATGTAGTGCTTTTCCGGGATGTGAGAATAGGTGAAGAACTTTGAGTTCCATTCTTGTATTTTGTACATCCATTCCACAACATTTTTGCTACTTTGTGTTATAATGCCGCTACCCGATGAGACAAGCGCAATCCTCTCTATGTACCTGCAAATTTTCGTGTTGAATAGGGTTTGTTTAGCAGCATCAAACATCCAAGTGATGAGTAAGAAACTTTGTTTCGGTTGTTGAAACAAGCATCTCTTAGCCAAATAATCAGAATTGTCGAAAGAATTCAACCCATAAACATATTCTCTAACGGTATGCTTGGTACACGGAGGGGACTGGACGTGTGAGAATGAGATAGACACGTGAAAGAATTGCGAAAGGTTTTAGAGACAAAAAAGAAAGCATTTTTGTCTCACTCAATCCTGTCTTGTGTCAGTCTAACGCTACGCTAAACGTGGGACACGTTTTTTTCTATCATGTCGTGTCCCATCTGGCCGTCCCATCTACCAAACGCACTCCACATCTCATACGTTAGCCCCATGAAACTTCTAGCATATAATTTGTACTAAAAGTCGAAACATTTCTTTTATGGGAAATTTCAGAGTAAAAATTACTTATTTGTCCGTCATTAGCATTACTCCTTATTTAAAAAACAGATTTCAACATGTAAAGACCATTGGGATGATTTGATCGATAACAAAGGCGGGCAGGCCATAATTTTTACGAGATAGAGAAAGTATTAGTCCCTAGAACTACTAAACAAGTGTCAAAGAGATCCAATAAGCAAAATGATAAAAATAACTGCAAACAAGAGAATTAGGCTTCGGGTTTCTTAGAAGAATTATCTTCTAACAGATTCTTTTTAAATGCGTGGTCTTACTACAGATTTAAGAACGTCTCTGCCTAACAAAAGAATACCTCTTCCTAACTCAAGAATTCCTCAAAAATCTGTGGAATATATATATATATATATATATATATATATATATATATCGACTCCCCCGCCCCATTCAAAATAAATGGTTAATTCTTATCTTCTGATAACAAAAAGGTTCACGGGTTCAGTGTTAACAACGAGACTAGAAACAGAACGGAAATGGTGTTTACTATGCATCATATTATATCCATTATGCAAGAGTATTGAAGTGAAAGTACAAATATAAAAGGTGAAAACTTACTGAATAATCTCTATAACGTTGAAGATAACATGAGAACCATTTTGAAAAACAGGAAGTTTGGCGGTCGGATTCATCCTGAAGAACGAAGGATCCATGTTCTTGCCTGTAACAGGATTGACATGATACGAGGTGTAATCAACATTCCTTTCTTCCAAAGCCAGCCTCACTTTCTGGCTTTCTAACGAAAATGGGTGATGATAAAGCTGCATCAGGCTTCCGGGTCAACACCAAAAATCAAAATCTGAAAATCAAACAGCATGAAACTGAAACCAATTAAATTTACTATAGTTAAGCAATCACCACCATTAGAAGTGTGATCCACAAGTTCTAGAAACAAAAAAAATCGAATTCAGCTTTAAAAGCAAGCTGCTAGAATGGATATATTCATTCCATAGATGCCTCGAGATGGCAGAATCTAAGGCTTTTCTTTATCCCTTTTTGATAACTTTTTTAGAATAAATAAAGTATTATATGCATAGGGCTGAGTTCCGGTGAAAAGGAGAGTTAAGATGAGAAGCGTAAGAGGGATCTCACCCTTGGATGCACGTTAGGATGAGATGCACCGGATCAACCCCGTTATCAAGTGCGATTCATAGGTGGGTTTGAGATTAAAGGTGATCAAGGGTCCAGATCCCTTCTCACGCTTCTCACCTTGGCTCTTTTTCTCACACGATCCTTCGCCTATATGCATAAATGGTACTTCAGGCTTCCATCTAGCCAATTAGTCCACCCAAATGAACCAAAGTTTAAACCTTCGCCATAGAATTTTATCACATATATGATCCACTAAAAGAAGCCTTTGGTTCTTTTACATCTTTAAAAGGAAAGTTTCCAATTTCAAGTACCCAATGTAAAGTATGAACACACATCAAAGGTTTCTCTTGAAAACTTAGATATTCAAAGTTAAACTCGAAATCCCTTTGACCTATTTAGATAACCGCGAACGGGTCTTCACCTCGGCTAATCCTATAGGACCTGAAATTAACAGCTGGAAAACCTTCACTGGCCCGGAGGCACTTGAACCAAAAACCAATGAGAAGCAAACCCAAGGCTTAACTTGTTAGTTCAACAAAACTTTGTTGGGTTTGTTGTATGACTATCATGATTACAGATGAAGCATTTGAATTCAATCCATGGCATCATAGTTGTGGAATCAAAATTACATAAAAAGGGGGAAATAGATCAAGAGAATACCATACATCCTCCTTTTCACCTGTACATTCTCACCCAATCGATTGCAAATGCTTTATAAAATGATATGCAGTCTATTGAAGCAATCCTAAACCGAAATTTCAATTCTCAAACCATGAAACAAACACAAATTAAATTAAAAATAAACGAGGAACAGTTAACCTTCAACAATCAACAACTAGTCAACCGACACCAAGAAATCAAATTAAAATTCAGGGGAAAACGTAGTCAACCAACAAACAATTAATACCATATCAAACAATTAGCTGCAGAGATCACCTTTGTATTCAATTCGGGAGAAGAATCAAAAAGAAAATGATGAATCATGAATATACGAACGAGAATGAGTGAATTACCTGGAAATTTTTTAGGGTTTTGAGTGATTGATGATTTGGAAGTTGAATTGTGTGTGGGTTTATGGAGATTGATGTGAGAAAGGAAATGCAAAAGGTGGAAAGAGACAGAGAAGGTGGAATTCTAGCGAAGAAGGTGTTGGAAACTGTAAGGTACAAGTTTCCATAGCATAAGGTACAAGCTTGTATAGCACAAAGGGTGGATTCGAATAAGACAGAATCCACCTCAACCATTTTGTAAAATCCGGTTCCTAATATGTTATTATATGTGTGTTTATATCGGGAAATTTATATAAATATAACTTTCACTTTTTACTCACTTTACAAAATATTACGTAAAATTGTATTTAAAATATTTTGTGTATATATATATATATATATATATATATGGGGTATATTTCAAATGCAATCATGTCTATTTGTACAATTAATACAACCTAATTAATTGAGATATTTATAGAAATGATGAGAGTCCATTTATTATGATTTGAATATTTATGGAATGATGACTAGAGTTAATTAATTATGATCAATACTTTATATTATGAAACAATAATTTTTTTATGAAATCACATATTCATCAAATTAAATGTACGATTGAGATTGGGTTGTATCGGTTGTACAAATGTAAAAGGTTGCATAATAACTCATCTCTCTTTCTCTCTCTCTCTCTCTCTCTCTCTCTCTCTATATATATATATATATATATAGACTTGGGATCATATGAGACCAAGGGTTTTTCGTAAGACACGTAAGACCAATTCTCAATCATTGGATTAGATCTGCAATTTGAACATTCATAATCACAAAATTGCCACGAGACTTCTCAATAATTACAAAATTGCCACCGTACAACTTTAGACCATTAGATCATTAGCTTATAAAGTTGATTAATGAATATAAATTGGTCTTACGAGTCTCACGAAAAACCTTTGGTCTCACGTGAACCTAACCATATATATATATATATATATATATATATCAGGTGGAATGGAGAATTTTTAGAGTATCTCTAACAGATTTTTTATAATTTTTTTTAAAATAGAGAATTAAAAATGAAAATCTCTAAAAAGAATGTAAGGCATGGTTTGACAAAAATAAGTTAGTGTATAAGCTGTTTTATTTTTTGAGTACACATTTGGATTCATATAAATTAACTTATTAAAACGTTACTTGGAGATGAAGTAATGTTTTGGTTGTTTATTGTCCTTTTTTTCAATTATAACTCTCATTAATATTTATTAATTATAAATGAATATTAATAAAATTTAAATATTATTAATATTAAAAAATATTAATTAATATAAATTATATATTAATATAATGTATTAATTATTTATAATAATTATTAATCATATCAATTGTGTTTATATTATTATTATTATTTTAATTGCTATTAAAAGTATTTAGTTATCAAAACGTAAATATAACAATTTTAATAATCTTTATGTAATATAAACCTTAAAGTTATATCTATTTTGTTTCACAAATAATAAGAATATGTTAAATAATTTGAATAAAATATTTAATTTAATTATTAAATATACATTTTGAAAAAATATTAATTAATTAAGATATGTATGGTAGACCATTTTTATTGTTATTCATATTATTTGTAATGATTATTTATAATTATAAATAATAGATTTTTTTTTTAATTTTTTAACAAACTCAAGTATTATAATATATAATTAATATATTATATTTTTTATCATCTTGTTTGTATTAATTAATATATTATATTATTAGAGATTTGTTTCAACCATATTTTGGAATATTATAATTGATTAATTTTTCAAGATGACATTTTTGATCATTTCACATTCATTGTCGGTTAGTTTTGTCAAACATGATTTTTTTTGTCAATAGTTTATCAGCTATCAGCTAACTTATCAGCTAGTTTGTCAAACATGGTCTAACTCTAACATATTCTCTATTTTAAAGATTTCAATATTATTATATTATTAAAATATTCTATAAATTTATCATATCAATACATTTTTTAGAATAAACTTATATGGAAAAATAATGATTCAATCTTATTGATGAAAATGAATAAAAATAATAATTCTTCTTCCAAAATCTAAATTTGAAGTTTTCTTTATTTTACAGAACCATATAAAAAAGTTGTTAAATCAAAATAGAATATAAAAGCCCATTTTCTATATTTTAAAAATTTTGTTTGAGATGGTTTTGGAGATTTAGTTTATTTGGTCTATGATTAGTCAATCTAAGGGGCGGTTTACCAAACATTTATCCGGGTAAGTGATTATCAAGTCACATTACCTTACCGGATGAATATGGCAAGGATCAAGAACCTTACTCGATAAGAGCGAGACAAGGACCAAGAATCTTACCTGGTAAGTGAGGACGACGACTCTCACTACGTTTAGCACTTGCTGGTAAATTGTTGCATACGATGTCATTTTGGTGGACTAAAGTCTTGCTCGATAAGTAAGTGACAGTGTTGAATTTTACCGATAAACACTTACCAGGTAAGTGTTTGATAAACGGCCCCTAAGACTATTTGTATTTTTTTATGGTCATCTCATATTTGCATTTTCTCGGTCATATTATTGTCAGTTCAAGAAAATAAGAACCTTCATAAAACTTCTCCCACAAAGAACTTAAAAACTATTGAAACTTATAACATTTCCAACAAATTTTTCGAAATTTCTCCAAAATATGTAATCAAAATTCAAAAAATCTTAAAAACAGTCGATTCCAACAATTTCTCCTAGATTAAAACAATAAGAGTAAATTGCAATTTATGTCCCAGTGGTTTGCTAGTTTTCTTGGATTGAGTCCCTTCCAAAAAACATATTACAAGAAAACCCCTATGGTATGCAAAAATGTTTGGTTTGGGTCCCTCCCACTAACTTTTGTTAGTCCATCCCATTAAGAACAAGGGCAAAGTTGTCCTATTATAATATAAAGTAAATTACATTTGTGGTCCTTTGGTATGTGGTTTGTCACTACTATGGTCACTCAAACGTGTTTATTATACTTCTGATACGTATGGTATGCAAAAAAGCACGCTCTAAGTCCCTCCTAATAGATTTTGTTAACCTAATTAACTCAGAAGACATTTTGGTCTTTCCTTTTTTTTTTGTCATTTTCTTGATTTTGTTTTTTTTATCTTTAATAACCCACCCATTTTCCTTCCTTGAACCAAGTAACATTGCAAAGGCTATGATAGTAGGGTTGGGATATCACTATGCTCCGAATCGGATTTGATTAGCCAAGCGAGCTGATGAGATGAATTGGTTTTGAGGTATGTCGGCCTTCCCACTTCGTCCTCACCCCCAATAAGACATATCCCACCATCGACCTTCATTAACTCCGGCACATATACAAACACCGGCCACCTTTTCGACAATGATCAACACTCCCTTCCTCATCACCCTCACCTTCATCCACCGCTAGCTTTCACTCTCGTTTCCAGTGAAAAATGTGATAACCGGGTATCCAGTGTTAAATCCCAGGGTGGTTTATGAAAATTTTGATAAGTTGAGGGGTTTAAAATGCTTAATTTCTTTAATAATTTAAAAAAAATATCATCACCGCCTCATTTGTTCAAAATAAGTGTTATGTGAGATATTATGAGTTATCTCATAAGGTTTGGTTGAAAAAGTTGGTGAAAAAAGCTTTTGTGTGTGTTTTTTTGGTGCGAAGAAACAGAACTGCAAGGGAAAGAAGAACGAAGTTGATTCTGTGATTTTTAATTGGATTAGTTGTTATTTATCTTCATATTTTATTTACGTGATTATAAGGTGAGTTTAATTTTGTAAACTTTCTTTATTTGGAAACTAGAGGTAGAACTGTATGGTTCTTTTTGTGAATTGTTGATATGAACCGTTTTGATGCCATAATTGGCATAAGTTGTGTGTTTTTGTTATGATTACGTTATGTGTGGAAATAAGGATGGTATATCAAGGAGAGATATATTTTGGGCTATAAGGGTGACATATCAATGAGAGGTGTATACCAGGATAATGATGACATAATCATCGAGTTATAAAAATCTGGGTTTTTGATCAAGTGTTCAATCTTATCGCATCCTTATGATGCGATAACCTTGAGTTATCACATTTGTGTGATGTGATAACTTAGAGTTATCACATTTCTATGAAGCGATGAAGTGTGGTTGTCACATTAGAGTGATGCGATGAATGGGTTTTGTTGCATCATTGTGACGCAACAAGTTGTTTTTATCGCAATCACTGAATGCGACAAATTGGATTCTCGCACCAGTGTGTTGCGAGGACTTGGGGTTTGTCTCATCTGTGTGATGCGAGAAATTGTATAAATTTATATATGGTGTAACAAGTTTTACCCATAATGTGTTTATCAGGTTATGTGGATATTTAAATGTAATAAATGAGGTTTGTTATACACAATGATATATATACAATTGTTATTATTACAAATGTAATTCATAAACATGATTTGGTGATTTTCATCCTGTAATAGCATCAATAAATTTTCTCACAAGACCTCAATGTCTAACCCTCATTTTGTGTTTCAAAAATGTGCATAACAGGTTGGACACAATCTGAGGTCAAAGGGAAAGGGAAATTGTGAAGTGCTATTATTATGCTTGCATGGGATTATTGTGATAGCATCTTCTTGTTTTGTAGTTGAATACTTGTTATGTATTAATGCGTTGTATAGAGATTTAGTGGAAAAGTTGTTAGCTATTCTGTGATATAGCTTTTGTAAGAAAGTTCGGGACCAAATGTGTAAATTATATTTCTTGATATATGGGAATATATGTTATATGCAAATGTGATTATGAGGTGTTACAAAAAACCCACATCACACACAACATAAATTGCATCTCCATCTTTGTGATCATCGCCCCGAAACTCGTTCACCCTCCACATCCGATCTCCAAGTCTATATCCAAGTCTACAAAACACACGCAAACCCTAATTTTTCTTCTCTCAACCTCCACTATCAGCGCTTAATATTCTTAGGTGGCGTTTGTTTTTTAAGAGGTTCTGAAATCTGAAGTCTGATTTCACTTCTGAATTTTAAGAGGTGGTACTGAAGTCTGAAATCTGAATCAGTCAGACTGT